TATGGAACCCGAAAAGCAACGTAACTCTTCAAGCGGAAACGACGATGATCTACTCTCTTCACCCGCCCCTGTCACCCGGTACTTCGAGCTCACCTTCGAAAAGAAGTTCAAAGACAAAGTCATAAACTCGTACATACCTTACATGTTAGCTAAATCGAAATCCGTTATCGATAAAGAAAGGCCCTTAAAGTTGTGTACCCTAGGGAGTAGGTTTAGTTGTGGTAACGTCTATTGGGATACTATAAACCTAGAGCATCCCTCGACATTCGAGACGTTGGCCATGGACACGGAGGCGAAGACCGCGATAATGGAGGACTTAGATCGATTTGTGAAGCGAAGGGAGTTTTATAGGAGAGTTGGAAGGGCTTGGAAAAGAGGGTACTTACTTCATGGACCTCCAGGAACAGGGAAGTCTAGTTTAATTGCTGCTATGGCTAATTACTTAATGTTCGATATTTATGACTTGCAACTTGGAAATTTGATTAAGGACTCTGATTTAAGGAGATTGTTACTTGCTACGGCTAATCGCTCTGTATTGGTAATTGAAGATATTGATTGTACTATCGATATTCAAAATCGACGTAAGAATTTGAATGAGAATGGCCAATTCCCTAATAAGCCTCCAGAAGTTCAGGTTAGTTCTTTAGTCCTTTCATTTTTATAACATGTTGATTTATTTTTACACCCGTTAAAAATCGACTTAACCATATAATGAACGCGATTCTATATTGTTTGGTGTATACGTTGAACGTATCAATCTTTATGTTAAGAATTCAATTTCCAAGTAATTTTTTAGTACAAAGTATGTAGTAAACTTAGTTTTAAAATCGAACTTATGTGAATTAGGGAGAAAATTAAATTAAATTTCTTATTTAAACTTTCTAAGACTGTTTTAATAATGTAATTAATTAGTTTGTAGGTAGTAGAAAAGGTTTTCCACTCAAGTTTAATTTGCTTGATGTTGACGATCCCTCCATCATTTTGTAGCTAGTCGGCCGTTAATGTTATTGATTAATGATGTTAAAAAGTTTTCCATGTGTCAAACCGACTTTTATTTTCCAATTAATATTAGAAATAAAAACACTTGGTTGATGGCAAACAAAAAAGGTGATGAGTAAGATTGCAAAAATATTGTTTTGTTAGTATATGGACAAATAATTGAGCAACATTTTATTTTGGGTGTGAGCAAGGTGTACTATGTCTTTTGGCTGTTTAGTGAGGTTATAATAAGAGTGTTATTTTTGTCACCAAAATTTCATTTTTAATTTCATGGTCATTTGAATGCTCGAGCGTACGTTGCAGCATGAACCAATCCACTTTATTCAGTTTAATGAACAAATTATGCTTGTTCTTTTAAGACACCATCATCAGAACGGTCCTACGTGGCCAACCATCGAGTTACTGTGATTTTTCAAAAAAAAAAATCACTAGTTGAAGTAATTTCTTAAAATAAAAAATTATTCTTACTATCACATTTTAAAAATTAGTTACACTAAAAATAGGCTGATAATCGAAAAACAACGTAACTCCTACATTTTACAACATACTCGTAGTACAAAATTACTCCGTGATTTGTTAAGCAATAACTTACGTCTCATAATAATTGTTTATGGACAAGAAAAAGTACCAAACAAAAATTACATAATTTTATAATATAATTTTATTTTAGGTGCAGTTGACACTATCAGGGTTACTTAATTTCATAGATGGCTTATGGTCAAGCTGCGGGGATGAAAGGATCATAGTCTTTACAACAAACCACATGGAAAAGCTTGACCCTGCCTTACTACGACCAGGGCGAATGGACATGCAAATTCACATGTCTTATTTAACATTTCAAAGTTTTAAGATATTAGTCTCCAACTACCTTGAATTCGAAGGAGAACACCCCCTCTTTGATGAGATCAAAGGGATGTTTGAGATCGTCGAAGTGACTCCTGCTCAAGTGGCGGAAGAGTTGATGAGATCGGAAGATGTTGATGAGGCTCTTGAGGGAGTTCTTAAGTTCCTTAAGACGAAGAAGGAGATGATAGATAATAAAGATGAAGTAGTAGTCCAGGATGAAGGACTAGGTGATGGTGTTATAGATGAAATTTGTCCTAGCCAAAATTTTGAAATATCGAATTAAATATCACCTAATACGCATGCTAAGCTTAGTGTTTTGGGATTTGCTATGCTGTTTTGAGGAACTAACACGATTGTTGTACTATAGAACTCCATTGACACTGTATTACCACTTATGATGATATATATAACACCAAATAAATTGTTCAACGTTGCCATTACTTTTTATATTTTAGTATGTTACACTAAATACAACTACATATGACATTCCAATTCTTTATCAGTTACTTGTCAATAGCATATATATGAATTTTCAGTTTTGATTACTTTTTATAATGAAACGGAGAAAGTATTTTAACCAAGCCTATACATATTGGACCAACCAAACAGTGAGGCAAAAATTACTCCGTGATTTGTTAAGCAATAATCCTATGCTACACTTGTTGTTATCATGGAAATAGGACATAGGAGAAGTCCAATTCAATTAATGGGCCTAATTTCCAGAAAAGCCCATTTAAACATGTACGGAAAACATGGTTAAACAATTAACAAGTTGTTTGAATCCTGTTAAAAATTTTGTCCTCCTAACAATTGGTTGGCAAGTTCAATTAACATAGAATGAAAACATGAAACATGAAACATGAAAACGTGAGTACAAATAGAACATACAGTAGTCAATAGTGGCGGCCCTTGATTGGAGACACTACCTAGTGCTGCCGTGTGACACTTAAACTTCTATGTCCTTTCCTTCCCCCTTCTTTTACATCCAACTTTTATGCATGTCATACACTCACAATTGCTACTGTTTTTTTATATGCTTTTTTAGGTGTTTTTTATGCTCATTCTTGTAAGCCCGGCCCCACAACATTTGGTAATTTCAAGATGTGCATATTTACGTTATTTTTGCATATCTAATCTGACTTGAACTTTTTTGTTTAGATCTAATTTAAGTTGATCTTAAGTTATTTTTCCGAAATAAGTAATAAAGTGAATTAAATAGAGCCTTACATTTCCTCCTTTTGGTAAGTCATAAGTCCTATGTCAATTCCCATAATTAGCCCATGTTCTCTTCACCTTACAATAATAATTTTAGTTCTATAAAAATAACAAGTTTGGTTTTATAAAAATAATTTCAGTTCACTTTTAATTAATTAGTAAAAATCAATAACCTTGAAGAACAGATATAATATAGAATCGATAAAAATACGTTTAATTAGTAAAAATAATTTCAGTTTTATAAAATTAATTTAAGTTCTTTAAAAATAATTCTAGTTCAATAAAAATAATTTCAATTCAACAAAAATAAGTTGAAGTGAAACAGGATCTTACAAAATGCTTAAAATACTAACCATAATTATAAAGTTATTTTCTAGGATATTTACAAGAGAAGTAATTTAACTTCATAGAAAGTTGGTACCCATGTGATCATGTGAACCAAATAAGCACTAAATATGATGAAATTCCACTACATATGAATTAACAAAGACTTTTTTGAAGGAGCTTTTGATTTGAGATTTTCAAGATTGAATCTACAATAACAACATCTTTTGAAGACTAAAAATCATATTTTATTAGTTTGCCTACTCTTTATTCGATATCATCAGAATTATAATTTTTTTAATATTTTTTCTTCGTTTTATATCCAAACAAAGATGTAGTATCACATGAACGTTTGTCATAAAATATGTTTAATAAATCTAGTATTTTTTTTTGGGCATGTTTTTATTATGAATGTATATTTTGTAAAAGTTCCTCGAGTGCAAATCAACAAATTCTCTGAAAAAAACATTTGCCATTTGGACAAAATTGTACAAGTAAAATTTTTGTAGCCTTTCCCATAGAGGAAACTCTTGTTCCTTTTCCATCATCAACCATAAAAAAAGTTGCAAGTAAGAAAGCAAACCCAAACAAAAAGCTTATCAATTAAAATTCATGAGGTGGCCGTTGCCTGCCACGTTGATAGACTTTCTCATCTTTTTAAATTTAATTTATTAATGTTTTGACAACTGTAACGTTCTTCATAACATTGAACACCTACACATAGGCCTTGTTTCATTGACATGAGAATTAAATTTCCATAGAAAATTGTATTTTATGGGAAATTATTTCCCTAATGAAATTCCTAAGAATTTTCTAAATTTGTTTGGTTGGCAATATGGAAATTTAGAAATCCCATGAATTTTGATTGACCTAGGGGGGACTAAGTAATTTACTTCCCTCATTTTTGTTTTTTTTGTGTCAACCAAACAACTCCTCAATTTGTCAAATCCCATGAATTTCCACTTCCCCCATTTTATGTTGTCAACCAATCAAGGCCATAAGCATCTGTTTTATATTATGTGCAACATTTTTTTCCTTTTCTAAATTGCCATTTCTCTCCTTATCACATGTATTTATATATTTCTCTTTCTATTTAATATATTAACAAACAAATTTTACCTAAGAGTTTGTGTCAACACCTTTGTTACACATAATATGAAATAGTAGTACTCCGTATTTTTTTTATTTTTTTTTTTTCTGTTCCACCCAAACCTTTGGGCTAATCTAAATTCGAAGGCCAGTTCTGAGTAATTAGGTTCCAATCTCTTCCCAATTGTTATTGCGGGAATCAATATATTATTATTTCGTAAATACTTTAATTTTAAGCATTTGTCCTGCTCATTTTAGAATCTTTGTGTCTGACAAGAAAGTCCATTTCCACTACCTAATTAATCACATCTAAAACATCAAGTACGTGCCAACTTTCTATTTGTTGGGTTTAAGTTCAAAAGCAAACGTCCAAAAAAGAGCCCAAAATAAAATAAAGGTGCCATGCCAACTTCTAGCCTTTAAATATCTCTCATTTCCAAATTGGCAATGCATCAACTTACGCTGCTCAAGTGAAGGCAATAGCCAATTCTTCTAAAGAGGCAAGTTTTCTACGCTTTTCAAATTTGAAAATTTTGAATGTCTTTACTTTATATTTTTATTATTATTTTTCTTTTTGGGGGTGGGGGGGGGTGTTTGATTAATGTTAATTAGTACTCTACTAATTATATTATATCTGTTCACTATTATAATTATTTCACGTTGCTGCAATCTTTAAAATTAAAGATCTTTATTTTGTTTACGTCGTCTAAGGTGGGGGTGTACTGTACATACGGGTACATCAAACCATAGACCCTACCTCGACGTGATTTAAATTGGGTTGTTGCTTTTAAATCAACCCGACAAATATCCTTGAACAGGAACGATTTCAATACCTTGACGGGATTTATTTTGGGTGGTTGTTTAGGCATATCCTAGAATAAGATCAAGCCACTAGGGCCGCTATTTTTCCCCCGGAAAAAAAGATTTGCTGTTTTCTTAACCAATCCAATAAAAACCTGATTACTGTCATGAAGACTTTAACAGGAGGAATTTCAGTAGGTACAATGCCAATGTTCTCTGCATCATCCTTATTCTCAGCCTACGCCTCATTGACAGCATTAGTCACATTAATTCAGCAATTCTACCATCAGATTGTTCCGAAACAGGTACGTAACTACATTAGTCTAAAACTCGAAGAATGGTTCACTAAAGCTAGCTCCGCCACTACATCATTCACTCTAGTCATCGAGCAATTTGAAGACGGCGAATTTGACTCGTTCAATCAAGTGTATAGTGCTTGTGAGGCTTACTTAGCTAGCAAGCTGAGGTCTACTTCGACACGTCTCAAGGTTAGTAGGCCTAATAAGAAGGATCGTGTATCGTTTAAGTTAGCACAAGGTGAGAAGTTTTCTGAAGTTTTTGAGGGTATTCAACTAGAGTGGAGTTTTATATGTAACAATGCTACTAATTACAGTAGTCATTCTGATGTTGAGGATAGTAGGTCGAGTAAATCACGTCTACGAAACAACTTTTACTTTGAGCTTTCCTTTGATCCTGATTATAAGGATAAAGTTTTAGATTCGTATTTACCTTATATACTTAAATTTTATGATGACATGGTGGAGAAAAAAAAGGATTTGAAATTATACACCCTTGATTGTGGGGGTGGAAAATCTGGTAGTTGGAGATCAGTAAAGTTCAAACACCCCTTTACATTTGATGCTCTTGCTATGGAACCGGAAGTGAAAAAGGCGGTGGTTGATGATTTGGAAAGGTTCTTAGGAAGAAGGGAGTTTTACAAAAAAGTTGGGAGGGCTTGGAAGAGAGGGTACTTGCTGTATGGTCCTCCTGGAACAGGAAAGTCTAGTTTGATAGCTGCTATGGCTAATCACCTCAAATTCGACGTCTATGATCTGCAGCTTTCGTCTGTGCTTAATGATTCAGTGTTGAGAAGATTGTTGCTTTCAACGTCGAATAAGTCCATACTTGTCATTGAGGATATTGACTGCAGCTTGGGTCTGGCAGATCGCCAAGTCCATCTTGTTAATGAAGGCAAGGACAAATACAGAAATGATGTTGACATGGATTCACATTCACAGCAATCACAGGTCAGTGAATATGTAGAAGTAATTTCCAGTTTTTTGCTCAGTTTTTTTTTTATAAGATTATGTGCAACTGTGTGAGTGTTCATATTTGTAAATTAACTGCTTAAGAGTCATTATTGTCTTGGACCACTGGTTTGTGAATGCAGATATCATTGTCAGGTTTGCTGAATTTCATTGATGGTCTATGGTCTAGTTGTGGGGATGAACGAATATTTGTCTTCACGACGAACCATAAGGAGAAGCTTGATTCTGCATTATTGAGGCCAGGGCGGATGGATATGCACATTAACATGTCCTACTTGACCATGCCTGCTTTCAGGATCCTCGCGCTTAATTACCTCAATATATCAGGGGAGCATTATCTCTTTAAGGAGATTGAAGAACTCATTCAAGCTACAAAAGTGAGCCCTGCTCAAGTTGCAGAGGAGCTAATAAGGAGTGATGATCCTGATATCGCTCTTTCTAGTCTTGTCAAAATGCTGAAGGAGCAAAAAATGGAGCACAGTCCGAAAAAAGTAAACTTTACAAAGTTGATGAATGGAAAGGTTGGAAATTGTCTAGGAAGTTATAACAATGGTGTACATGATTTTTCAGATGATTATTCTAGTGATTAGGCTTAGAATAGTAAGTACTACTCTTATCTGACAAGAAATATGTTAGAAATTAGAACAACTTTTCCCTTGTTCATTTGTGCCAGCTTCTTATGAACTTTTAATGTTTGTTTGTTCTTCCACGAAATAAAAGCATACTTTTTTGTTCTAATTTTACTTTTGATTTGGTATTGTTCTGTACTTCTGTTTCACAGTTGGCAGCACACTCAAACATCATCGATTGTGATGCTGAATCATCCTCGAAACGATGTCGTTCTGCTGTCACACTTTAATTAGTAACAAAATCATATCAGATTATGTTATTTTTAGAATTGACATCCTAAAATACTTGCTTTACTTCAACTTGTATGTGAATTGTATAAGTAAACAATAAACATATATTTGTCATTCCTATAAATACTATGATTAAATGAGAATAAATTTCAAAAAAAAAATTGCAACACTTTGACCAAAAATGTGAGTGTTTTTTGGACTAAGTTTTGCAATTTTTATGAAACAGAGGAAGTGTGTTTGACTAAGAAAAACAATGCCATTAAATATCTTTCAGAAAAGGAAAGAAATCACATTATTTGATTCTTTTACAAATCTTGTAGCAAATATGATATCTGCAAAATCACAAGGGATTTATTTCCAAGTTTTCTGATTTATATGTCCAAAGAAAAAGATTATAAAATCAAAGAATTATAAAATCCAATTAATCAGTCTCTAACAAACAAATTAAAGCTATGATGAACTCTCTGACAGGCATGCCTTCAGTAGCATCAGTATTCTCAGCCTATGCAACCTTATCAATTTTTCATCACTCTTTTCCAACAAGCATACATTCAATTCATACCCGAAAGAGTTAGAGACTACATTACTGAAAAACTCGAGCAATGGTTCAACAACTCAAGGTCATCTCCTTCCTCATTCACCTTAGTAATCGAGGAATCAGATGACACCCCATACCGCGATCATAACCAAGTCTTTGAAGCCTGTGAGAGGTACTTGTGCAGCAAGCCTATCAGCAAATTTGCTAGCCGCCTCAAGGTAAGTCGTCCAAATGCTGAAGAAACTCTTAAATTCAAGTTAGCACAAGGAGAGCAATTCACAGATACCTTTGAGGGTAAGGAGCTTGTGTGGCACTACATAATCTCCTCAAAAGAGAACACCAACCAACAGGAAGAAAAACCACATTTCGAATTAGTCATTGAAGATAAGTATAAAGAGGTCTTAAATTCCTACTTGCATTACATACTTAAATTAAATGATGAAATGCAGGAGAATTCAAAAGAGTTGAATTTACATACACTTACAACCTACTCGGATTGGCACTCAGTTGATTTCAAGCACCCCTTTACATTCGATTCTTTGGCTATGGATCCCGAGGTTAAGAAGTACATAACCAATGATTTGGAAGGTTTTGTAAAGAGGAAGGATTTCTACAAAAAAGTAGGGAAGGCTTGGAAAAGAGGGTACTTGCTTTATGGTCCTCCAGGCACAGGAAAATCAAGCTTGATCGCGGCTATGGCTAACCCTTCCTCAAGTTTGATATCTATGATTTACAGCTTGGTCAAGTGGAGAGTGACGCGATTTTGAGGAACCTTATGCTAAGAACAAGCAATAAGTCTATACTTGTTGTTGAGGATATTGATTGTACTCTTGGGTTGCCAAGCTGCAGGGAGAATTTGGACGGCTCATTCGACAATAATGAGGACTATGTACGTTTTAATGAGCATCAGACATCAAAGGTATGTTCTGTATTACAATTTCCTTAGCTTATTACCAATTTACTTAATCATATCATATGAACATTTAAGAGATAAAAGGATCATTGTTCTGCATACAAATAAGTTTTGTATCAATAAATTGAAAAAGTACTTTTTTATCTTATATCAAAATTGCATATGACAATACAATTTATACAAAAACATAGTAAATCTGCATAGATCAAAAGTACCAATTAAAAAAAAAAAAAATCAATTTTTTTTATCAGCAAAATCCAATTGAAGAGAACAGAGAAAAATGTAATTCACATTGGTACATGTAATGAATACAGCATGAAATATACGGACTTACAGAGTATGTTATATGTACACTTAATGAATACAAGGGTAGGCACTAAAAAAAACTAATGTACAAAAACATAAGTTATATGTACATTGTTATATATGTGTATGACAATTTTGGTGCAAATTAATGTAGATATCACTATCAGGGTTGCTGAATTTTGTTGATGGATTATGGTCAAGTTGTGGAGACGAGAGGATTATAATCTTCACCACCAACCACAAGGCGAAGCTAGACCCTGCCTTGCTACGAGCAGGGCGGATGGATGTGCACATACATATGTCCTACTTGACTATGCCTGGTCTTATAATACTTGCATCCAATTACCTGGAAATTGCGCTTAATGATGATCACCCTCTCTTTGGAGAGATTGAGACATTGATCCAAACTGTGAATGTTACTGCAGCCGAAATCTCAGAGGAATTACTGAGAGCTGATGATGCTGAGACTGCTCTTAGAGGAGTTGTGCAGCTGCTCAAGAAGAAGCATTTTGAAAGAAAAGAGAGCAAAGGAGAATGTAAGGAACTCGAAGTCATATATAATCTCATGGACACCTAGTAGGAAGGATTTGCATGCAACTTCAATTAATAAAAATAAAAATCAAAAAAATAAAACCATTTTCTTCATGTTTAATTAGGCAGTGAATTGCTAAATTACTTTAATGTTGATTTTGGATTCTTATTTTTAAAAGAAATTGAGATATTAGGCATATGACTTGAATTGATTTCTCTTGTTTAGGAAGGCTAACAAACAAATTGGTTGAACACATTTAGAATATTAGATAAATTAATAATAATAATAATAATGATACTTGGCCATATTTATAATTCTGCGGTTATTCGTATAGGAGTAAAATTCTATTGTTAATTGGATATTCATATTCATTATAATATATGGTGTGTTGCTGTAAGTAAAATTCTATTGTCAATAAAAAGATAATTTTTTATTTCAAAAAAATTATAAATTATTTTATGTATACTTTATAATTTTATTCTAAACAAATCTATCCAATCTAATCTAACGTGACATCTATTCTAATTACCATAATATCTATTTGTCGCCTACATGGCTCGACACTTGACGAAAAACTGGAACGCCAAGTGTGACTGTCTCGTGGTCTGGCTGCGTGACCGACTTTATTTATTAGTGATATGATATGATATTGGTAAAAAAAATTATCTAGTTTTGTGCCCGGGCAATGCCCGGATTGTTGATAAAATTTTAGGATAAACTTTTTGGCTTGAATATTTATTAATACGGTCATGTAATCCCTTTTGATAATGGAGGATATTTAGACATACGATATCCTATCGCTTATTTATACAATAGTGTACTTTTTGTAATTTTGTTTGTAAATAGATATCTATGTTATTATTGATTTGAAATTATTGTTATTGAACTTAAATTATTTTTACTGAACTGAAAGTACTTTTACCAAACAAAAATTATTTTTACTGGTTAAAATTTATTTTTGTTGAATCTCTATTTTTTTTTACTAAATTTAATATATTACAAATTGATCTTATTTTAAAGAACTTTTTGAAACGAATGTTATGATGGAAATAAAACTGAGTTATATGATATTTATTAAAAGTTATGATAAATTTTTTATATATGGTATATTAGAAGTATAGTGATAAGAAAACTCTGTACACCATTTTTATCTTAAAAAATCTATCCAAAAATCGCTTAATTAGCATCTTATGTGTCACAATTAGAGCTGTCAAAAGCTAACTCAACCCGAAAAATTTACCCGAACCCGATTATTAACCGACCTGTTTGAACCCGAAAATATGGTGACCCGAACCCGATATGACCCAACCTAAAACCAACCCTATACCCGAGTTAACCCGAGTATTTGAGACCCGAACATGAATCGACCTGGAGATAACCCGACCTGAATATAACCCGTAAATTATTGATATGAACCGAGCCCGAGAATGACCCTAACTCGTTTTAACCCGTTAACTCGAATTAAACCCGACCTATTATTAACCCTACCTAAACCCGACCCAAACCCGATAAGATGTATGACCCGACCTAAACCCGACAAGATGTATGACCTGACCTAAACCCGACAAGATGTATATGACCCGACTCAAGCATGACCCGAAGCTCAATTATAGGCTATAGTTCCCTAGTATATTGCCGTATATATTGTTATATAGTCAAAGGAGATAATTAGCTTGATAATTATTTGCATATAGTTAGCTAGAGCTTAGCCTATATGATGATTGACGAAGGCATGTACATTGTATATATGCGGTTATTCTCTTAATGATAAGCAAGGAAAATTTTCCCTCAATATTTCATTAAGAACCAGATTATATTGGCATAATCGCATAAGCTTGTCTATTATCATTCTAAAATCAATTATAGCCATAGATGTAGTCTTTTTGGGTCTAATTCTAATAATAACTTAGAATATTATTTGCTCTCCCCTAATTTGCTTGACTAATTTCCTTAATTTTTTTTTCTAATTATTTTGACCTTGCTCGATTTGGAAGAGATACTCAAGAATCAGGATCGAATCATTTTTAATAGCTAAATAATAATTAGAGCAAATAATAACTTAGGTTAATGCGTTGGAATTTATTGGCTTTGTGAACGTCAATACATGAACTGTTAACAAATCGACCAAAAAAATGTACCCAAACCCGATATGACTCAAGCTGAAATCAACCCGAGACCCAAACTAACCCAATATTTGAGAACCAAACGCGAACATGACCTAACCTGATTATAACCCGCAAATTATTGACTTAAACCAAACCCGACTCGAACCCTAAAATGACCCTAACTCGTTTTAACCTGTTAAAACCCGACCTATTATCCACCCGGGCCGAATGTAACCCGACCCAAACCCAACCCAACCCGATAAGATGTATGACCCGACGTGACCCGACTCAAGCATGACTGAACTCAAACTCGAACCTGACCCGCATAATTTATGAAATTAACCCGAATTGACCTGACCCAAGTTGACCTAACCCACACTAACCCGACCCGTTTATCCAAACTAACAGCTCTAGTCACAATAATACCTATTTGTCGCCTATGTGGCGCGACACTTGGCAAAAATTGGAATGCCAAGTGTCGTTGTCTTGTGGCCTA